TACCGCTGCTGCTGCTTCTGTCTTGAACATTCTTCAGATTTGAGCAGATTAAAAAAATATTTTATAGCCTTTGCATCACATTCTGTTGGACAGGTGAAGAGTTTGCCCAAGAAGGATCATGTCAAGCAGTTTCACTACATGATGATTTACCAACCACTTGAGTTATCCCAGCTGAATAATAACTTAGCTTGCTATGTAATCCACATTGCCCAGATATTTTTGCTGCATTATTTAAGGACAATAACAACAATAACAATAAAATTGTAAGTATACCCAAGTTGTTTATACGAGATGGAAGTCAAAATTACGGAATTATAGGTCCTCGAACTATAACATATTTCCCGAACATGTACACAAATACGTTCGTGCCTCTATACATTTCTGCTTCGTATCGTACTTTAAGGAATTCCATGATCTCGGTATGCAATTTACCCAAAGTGCCAAAAATGTGTCGCTTATGGTATTTGAGTAAATTCAGTAGTACATAAGTTGTTTTATTGTAGTTGTTTCACCATGTCCGAAGATATCTTTATTGCTACAGGATTTTGACACAACAAGTAAATGGCTGGCTGCCACTCTTACTGACTTCATGTAATTCACCCAAGTTCATTCCGATTGAAAATGTGCTCAGATTCGACAAGATGGCAAATTATTAAAATCCTCTCTTTTATCAAAATCTCAACTTTAACCTCCCTCTCACAACCTTCGAAACGATGACTTTTGTATTAGTCATTATGCGCTGATGTCTTCCGCATAATAAATAATAAACCAAACTACAAGCAACCAATTTGACGCACCACTAATTTCGAGCGACTGTATTAGGAATTCGGATATGCTGCAATATATACAAAAATTTGTGACTCGCATGCGGAGAATAATGAACTTGCTAATTGCAACTTATGCCCTGAGGTATGTCGTGGAATTGCAGTGGAGGGTATATGACCAGAACGGACGATACGGAAGGTTATTAAATAGCGAAATACGGTGAGTAAAGCGCCACAACATTCCCGACCTACCGTCACTTGACTTGCACGAAGATAAAAAGTTGAGAAACTGTAGCTGATGAGAATACTAAAATTCAAACCCATACTTTTTCTGAAGTGCATACTTCTGCATGTATAAACAACCGAATATGCCAATTGGTTCTGTTCGGTTCCTCACTTTGATGATTGTGCTTGGATGGTTGGCAAAGTATCAATGATAATATTGATTACTACTCCTCTGCATATGGAAATATTTTCAATCAATCCATCAGACTACTCAATGGTTGATTGGTTAGCAAGGCAGGGCTTTCACGTGCAAGAGGATGGCAGGTTTGATTGTAAGCATGCTTAGTCCTCATATCAAGAATTAAGTTCCATGTTAAGCAGGTTGGTCCAATAATACAGCAAGCAGTACTGACGCTTAAATTCTATTTACACCCTCTTGTGTTGCGGTTGATATCCTTGCTGATGATTCTCCACTTGCATGTAACGAAGAGTTTACCATGCACTCGTCTTTCTGCTGACCACTCTTATTCTCTATTCTTGTAAAGTGTTGTTTCTTCTTGGACTATGTCAACATCATTCGTATCAGAACAGTATCTATGCAATAGTGCATTCAAATTCAAGTAGCGATTGCGTCACTGACGAGGCACGTAACGCATCTGTAGCTAATTTATACGCCTGACTATGATGGACATATCACAAAACTATTCAAAAAGTATAAACACTTTTTATATTTGATTTATTCTGGAAGAAATTAAATAACTGCACATTAAATTGCATACGCGGTACACAAACTACATTCAAATTAAGAATGGTATTGACCAATTCTTCAGGAATTTCTAGTCTTAAGTTGCATCTTTGTACCCACAGATGCATCCTTGGAATATTGAAAAGTGAGAGAGTCCACCAGTCCACACAGGCATCGCTTATCATTAGTGCATATGTATGTACATACGTGTTTACAAGTCGTTGTGCACAAACCTGCCCTACAGCAAGAATGATTGTACACATATATATAGAATTTGTAAGGTCGTTTTACTCAAGAGTATGACGAGGAGGGAGTAGTGACATCATCTCAAAATGGCATTTGATGGCTTGACACATGAATTTCTTTAGGTGGTTGAAAGAGAGAATGCATATCCGCACCAGCGAATGTCGTAGACTGTCGGTGAAAAGTTCGTTTAATGCTCAATTTTATCAGTGCAATTTTACGTTTATGTTGTTACATAATGGGATAAAAATGAGGTGGGTAAGGGCAGTCCTTGATGAAAAAGACATGATAGCACTAGTTGTTCCGACTTGAGGAATTGCAATTCAGCATAACGACTGTGGTTTTGGCTTCAGTGAGGCAGTCGCTTCCATCAATCAAATCATTGATTCCTCTTCATACGCCCTGACCACATAGGGAAATCAAACGGTGGAATAGAATCGTTGGTCTACTGTGATCATTCTGCGTAGGATGCACTGTGGTGTAAGCCTTTTATACACGATATTGTGCCCATCAGTTTAAATATACTTCGTTCGAGACAATATAGCACCACCAAAAAATCTGTACTGCACCTCATACAGTGTCGTATCATTGCATCTACGGGTTTATTTATAATGGTAAGTGTACTGGGTCTAGTGCACAACAAGGCAATGTAACTTTGACACTGATCACTACTTTGATATGACAACTATTGAATGACCAATGCATTTTAATTTTATTAGTGTGGACCACTCAAGCTCAGATCCAGGAGTATTCATTCACTGGTTTTACAGATGTATTTCCTTATTAAGTCTCCAAGTTCGGATTAGAATTAGCGAATCATAATCTATTTTTAAACCGTAATTCATATGCCAGACCATACCAGTTGTCCATGGGGCGTAAATATTTCCTATTTCATAGTTTAATCTCAACTAGCTGGGATGGGACAGAATGCAGAGGTGACCACACTGTACATCTCGCCATCGGCTGGGACAGAGTGTGTATGCAGGTAGGCAGACATTGCAAAAACTGTTGACCTCTTATTTCTAACTCTAATAAAGCACCAGTGTAATCCCCAATTGAATAGCGTGCTTGTGTTCAGCTTACTCGTTTGTAGTTCTAGGAGAATGCAAAGGTTAGTGAAGTAATTTCAAACTAAGATTGATGCGATGCACTACTGCAACTTTGGCTGTTTGGAAAATATGTATGTCCACCAACTTTTTTTTATTTAGGGTCAATATTTTAATTTTCCTTGCTCTTATCATTCGTTCATCAACTATCACCTTGCACATTGATATAGACACAAACCTGCAGTTTAACACGGATTAAGGGTGCAAATAAGTTCAATAAATAAATTATGCTAACAAATACGGAAGAAGTGTGAATGTGCAGCAACGAAAGCCATGAATCTAGCTGTTGCTGCCCTCAAGGAATTTATCAAATGATCGCAATATGAGTTCATATATTGCGATTTGGATTGGATTTGCATGTAATTTCTCAAGCATAGTAAATTAATAATGCACTTGGCTGAACATGGTTATCCACACATTTACAAATAAAATCACTGGTTTTAGTTTGCCAATACCATCCGAAAATATGACGAGTAATTTCTTTAAGTCTTACTTACTCTTATTTTTACAGAAACACAGAATTTAGTTTGTATTGGTCTTCTTATGAGAGCAAATCATTGTTTAACCATAATTCTAATATTTCGCATGATAATCGCAAAATATAGGTATTTTTCGATCGAAAAACATGTCAATTACAAAAATTTTATATTTATTGATAACGCAGGCCCTCCTATTCATATGCACGATTTGTGAAAATGCAAACAATGTTTCTTAAATCCCAATTAGTGAATATCTGGAACGAGGATTTTACTCAATCGGAGATTTGATTGTTTCCACTGGGTCATTTTGAGCAGCCACATTATACTAATCACTTTACCACTACCGTATGCAGACAAAAATACAAATTGCATATCACACTATAAATTAAATTTAAAAGGATGGGTTCACTCAGTTAGCATTAAGATTGTCAGTTGGTATCAACTGGGCAAAGGGCAATTAATGCTAATTAACTTTGCAAAAAGAAAGCAATTTTAAATTATGAAGAGCAATAGTGCAGCACAAGCTGCATACGTTGCGTGATAGATTAGATATGTATGTTGCATCGAAAAGATACAAAATCATTGTTTCCTTACCTCATTGAGCTGATATTAATATCCAAGCAGAGACTTGGCAATCGTACTAACGTGTAATGACTTAATTTGGGATGTAAAAGTCCAATTTATATCCTTATCAGCTACCATCACCTCAAAAAAACTTTCATTCATATAGTAAGTCTCATGCTACTGCACATTTTTACTTTTAAATCGCAAAGTCAACGTGTGTTATCCTGAGTTCAGATTGTAAATAATACACCAATTAGCAAATAAGGTAGGAAACGGCGAATGCATTCTACAGTGTACACATTCCGCACTAAAGACGACGCATGAACAAACTCTCGTTGTATTTATCTTGCAGTTTCGTCCGTTCACAGGAATATTATTATTATTATTATTTCAAGTCTCTATTTAATCTGCTCAATATTTGCATGCGTATGTATGCATGCATAGTAAACAGTTTGCAGATAGTTTATAATTTCTAATTTTTATTTTGCGCATGAACTTCAGGCTTTGTTAATTTCTCATTCAAACGATTTCTTCCAAGAGTTTCACTACTGTTGAATTCGAAATGGGTTCATCTATGTGAGCTTGAATTTGAATTTAAGCATTGCTATTTGTTGCGGCACATGATATAGCGAAACTTTCACGCTTATCTTGCTGCAGCTAGCTTATACCTTGCAAGTTACGGCGCATATATATAATTCTGCGATATACGTATGGACGTGTTTCATGTCCAAACAGGAATTTAAATAAGTTTTTTGCGTATATCTTTAGTCCAGCAGTAACTAAACCAATTTTTCTCCTTCTAGAGTTCTCACCAGTCCAGTGGCAGCCGTAACATGTAAATACTAGCAAACTTGGTCAAGTACAACAGTTCTACTTGAACTTCACTTGGCTGGATAAACTCTTCACAACACAAAATTTCTTTGCTGGCACTGAAAACTAACCGTCTTTTAATAAGAATAAGGCAGTCGGTTTCCCTTGACTGTCATTTCCTGCTTTATTTTACAAAAACTACCATCCGGCATCAAGTGTACGTTCAGCTTCAGCTCCCCACTGCCACTCGCGTTTGGGACAATCAACCCTTTGCATGGACCATTTTCACACGTTGGTCGTATACTCGAGCAATGCTTACTCCGCTCTGTCCACAACTTGCTCTCAGACTTTGTTCCGAAAGAATAAAGTTTCCATAATTCGCAGTCTCTAAACTAGCACCATTCTATTTCTGAGTCACAAGTTGTAAAAACCTCAAGTTACAATTAACACAGACCACAATTCGAGTGGTTGGACATCAGCGCAAGCGGTGGCGGAGTCTAGCCACAGATAAGCAAGTACTCCACGAGAAGAACACCATAGGACTGAGCAACAATGCTTCTCCGATGTCGAGAGAGGAACTAAACGCAACCAACCATCAAACTAATACCATTTCATTGCATACCTTACAGCTAACAAAAGCAAGTAATAAGAGGTGAACTAAACTAGCTGTAGCTGCATTTCACGAGAATGAAGGCAATGCAGAATGCAGCAAACCCCATGTAAGACGACGCAAGTTGGGAGAATGTCGAATTGGATTTAGGCTTGCCGTACATACTTAAGTCCCGGTATGCGATATACACATGTACAGAATCCAACTGCATTACACAAGATTACGTAGAAAACTGGTTCATATAGCAGCAGCCATAGCGTAAGAGCCTTCATCTATTGCTCTTACCATGAGACGAGCCGTGGTTAAAAGGATAGCATCAAAGGGAAGGGAAGACGAAGAAGAGGGGTGAATATTCTTCACAAGAAATCTTGAATAACATGAAGACTTTTGTAGAAAGGTGTTGGTGTGTATAAACGACTTGCATGCAATCCAATGTGTAAAAGATCTCCCTCGAGTCCACCATCTCCAATTTAGCCAACCCCACTTTTCAACTTTTGTATATCTGCGATGTGATAATAATGTGTAAGTGGCAACTGTGTACAGTCTTACAACACTTGCCTCACTTTCTTGCACCCTTTAACTTGACACATGCCTATTTTGGTCACTTTTTAACTCGAGAATTTGTTCTGTTTTACAGAAGCACAAGTTACACGAGTCAACTCTTCTCCACATTCACATTGCGTGAATATCATCAGTATAACCAGCAAAAATGGACCAACAATTTTTAAAAACACTTTTAGTTGTGTATGAAATACTAATCTAGTATTTGCCTCTGAGACATTATTAAATGATGTTTTTTTTATTTTATTTTAATTCTTTTAGAAGTGTAAAATTTGAGGTAGATTGAGACATTTCTTTCAATATTTCGAGTTACGTGCTATTATAAAAAGATGTTCCCATGAGTGCATTGCTGCGTATGTATTGTACATATCGTATTTTACACCAACGGTCAAGTAAATGAGGTGGCATACGATTTTTTATGAACTAAAAGTTCAAAGAAAACCACCAGCAGTTGTAATATCATAAAAATCAGACCACGTGCATTAAAAAGACATTTCTAATTAGTCATGCTCGTTTGTACCAAACACCTTCTTGCGCTCGTTACAAAATCTTTAACAATAGCTTTCCTATGTTAAATGTATTAAATTAAATGGAAAATGTTGTGTGAAAAACACGAAAAAGTTGAATACCTTTGCCACATACATTCTTGTGCATTCAATTATTCACAGCACAGTCGTGTCGCTTCCCAAGGTGAGGTTCATCTCCACTTAATGAAATATTTGAGAAAAATCAGTCAGAGTTTTCCACTTGATCCGTGGAGGAGGTGGATAGACGATGAGAGCCACAAAGTCTGGGAAGTTCTTCACTTCCTTTTTCACATTTATTTAATACGCAGCAAAGGAGAAGAAAAGGCAGTAGGTAACTAAACTATAAAATTGCAGCTCACAGATATATTACATCCGGTTTAGTTTCACAACCTAATGGGAATGTCATATCACTCTAAAAACATATTATTCATCTTGCCCTACGCAAGAGTTGAAGGTTTATTTACCAGCAAGACTTCATGGCTTCACACTAGTTCACATGCTGCGATCAATGATGATCGACCTTCCAAAATCTGCTGCTGTTGCATACGACCAGAACTATGAGCATTTTGTGCTACGTTAAATGATGTGTTTTTTGCTTCCCAGGTCTCCAAAGGTTGACCAACCTTTTTTTAAACCAGCGTATCACAAGGAATCTCTCGATTGCGTACAAATACCTGTGAAATCTGGATAAAATATCCAATTTATGGCTTATTTGTTCTCTAATCCCGTATTTTTTAAGTGTCATAAAAAGCTTCCGCTTCATATTAAAGGTTGTCTCAGGTGTATGTCCTTTGAACGTTTATTTATTTATTTCGGTATTTTAAGAGCAATTGGTTGCAAGATCTGTCATATTTTTACTTGAGAATTAAGCGATTTTACTTGCACCTCTTGGATTCATGGCAAAATGAGTGTCCGCTACCTAATCACTGATCCTCAGCATTTATTTCAGTCAACTTTAACAAAACTAATAAAAATTGTGTTTACACATGAAAGGAACATTTTACGAGGAATGATAAGAAATGCTTCCTCCAAGTCACCAAATTAAATGTGAATAATCCGTGCTGTAAGGACGATTGAGCAGGCTTAAGAAAAAGGAAGTTGGGGTTTAACTCTACTGAAACTTGTCATATTGCTGTGGTTCAAGTTCACATGATGATATGCATTCCGCTAATTCAGCAACATAGTGCGCACATCGGAAAGTATTTCACGTACAAATATATATGCACCTTACGCCTTGATGTTGTTATCTTATTTTTTGGAACAAGTTTTTTAAGAATGGCTTGACTATGTGCATAAGCACAACCAGAAAAGGAGAGGAGGGACAGAGATGCACCACGCAAGGATGTGGCGTTGTTGTTGTTTATAGCAGTGGGTGATGCATTCCATTCCTTCTCATTTAATAAACATTTTAATATTTATTACAGAAAAGGAATAAGTATCCGCGCTTGAAAAGCCCATTAATCATCTTTCTGTCCATTAAGTCAAGAGTAACACTATTATTTCATCCCATAATGTTCAGCATCCCAATCCCACACACTTTTAATATTAATTTTAATTCACGTTTTTTAAACCGTGTGGAACATGAGATCAATCTGTAAGCCTCATTGGTATGCACTGTTTTATCCGAGAGGGCTTCTTGCTGTTTCATCCCGTTCTCTCTCTATGCAACTGCAGACAACTCTGCAGCCTTATCCTGTTTGACGACTGAATAGATTTCTTATTAAGTTTGATTCATGAGATCCGGCGCCCGCAACGGTTTTTCAGCGGAATTTATTTGTGGATTAATTTGGATAACTTTGTAATCACTAGTGTATAAAAAATATTGAAGAGATCCGGTCGATTGAGTGAGATGCATACATACTTAGGTTGAGCATTATTCGTCGTGGTAATTTTACACCTGCTCGTCATAAATGGGTGGATACTGATATTGCTTTGTTTGACCAGATTAAATTTCAGCTAATAGTCTAAATTCCTTTTGCACATCATTCGAGTCCTGCACGTTTAAGTTTGTGATGATATTGCTCTTACATAAATTAAGCCACATCAACTTTGATTTTGTGTTCGTGTTTTCATGTTTTCAAATTTTTGGTTTATACTCAATTTAGAACAATAATTACCTAAAAGCTGTGGGTTGCTTACTCAAAACTATAATTTAGAAACCATTTTGACATCTTACAATAAACTGTCGATTATACAGCTCACAAAGCAGGTTCTGAATCGATAAAAATGATCAAAAACCAGTTTCCCACAGCAATTTCACATCAGCCCATCTCACTTTTCCGGCTATGGATTATTTAAAATCGGGTTGCATTTAAAAGACAATACGGTTTTTCACCAAAACATTAGTTAACAGGTGTAAATTGGTAAATTGGTAAAATATAGCTATTCTTTGGCTGCAAGTATTTTGCTCTTATAATTGAAGTTCCAAGTCTGACACGGAAATACTGTACTGAAAGGAGATAGTTCATTTTTCAAGACAGAGATATTACCTTACTCGATTTTTCTCAAATATGCCATATTAAAAGTAGACGCATGCAATTAATGAACGATGTATAAATTGGATGGCTTTTGGCGTACAAAAATTTGTCAAGAAGCGACACGTATCGTATCGTATGAGCGAGAGTCGTAAAAAGAATCGTTTGCAAGAGCCAGCAGGGTCAACATAAAAACCGCAGGGACAATGAAAGATGATCGGACATCGGAGCATTATTTGAGTCAAAGGTAGTCCACAATCAAGAAGTCGAGAGAAATATGTGAACCGTGATTGTGCTCGGCGGCGGCGTAGGTCAGATTCACCGTCCTGTCTGATGCACAACCAATCACCAAAATTCATAGTTGAGAACTGCACATTCCCATCTATTCATGCATCTCCATTTATCCCTGCTACAAATGGCTACAAGTCACGATTCTCAGCAAAATCATCGCCCACTCGTATTCGTTTAACTTTTGGGAGACAGGGTTAATTCACAAATACAACTGGTGCTCTTCTCCCTGCTTAAAAATTGATGAAAATAATATATGCATGTATATATAATGAATTGCCTATTTAGGTAAAAAAAAAATCAGACTGTGCTTAAGCACAGATTGCTAGCTTCTGCTGTCTCCTCCATCTCAACTACAATGCACAAACTTAAAAATTGTTCTAGTATTGCTAGATTTATCTCATTCTTATCTGTTTCTTTGAGATCTTATCCTGATTAATGGAATGTGATTACTCGGTACGTCTCTTATTATATTTTCACAAATTGACACTACTTGTACTTCCTAGGTCAAGCAGTTTGATGGCACATTAATTCTCCTGGTCTGAATTATATAAGCACTGCGCTTAAAAAGTGACGTGATCCAAGTTATTGATTGAATTAAATTTTCAACAGTGAATGAAATTGAGGGTTAAATGTGTAATTCAAGTCATTTTATCATAGACTATACGGGCGGATTCATGTTTCTCTACTTTATAAAAACAGTATTTGTAGTAAAAATATTACTTATAAATTTTGGACCAAATCTGTGCTTTGTGTAAACTACATGTAGAAAACTAAAGTAAAATTTAGACAAGTGTTTGATTTATTTTATTAAGTGTTGGATATTAGCAAAGATATGCACAGGGCTTTTATGAAAATTGAGATTGGTATTATTTAAGGAAAGTCAGTTGGGGAAGTTATCTCAAAATAATCGTTCAATTTAGAACGATCAAACATTACGAGAAAGTTGAACAAAGATCTAAAGCAACTATATATATGCCATATTGTACATTTATTTGCTGTATCAAAATTCACGTTTATTCGATGATTCTGTATGATAAATCTTTGCAAACTTAATAATTTATTAGTATGCAAGAGGTACATCCTTGTCCGAAACTTGAATGCTTACACATGTACTTATATCCAATGTTTATCTATGTACTTAAAAGTGAATTTACTGAATTCAGCCAACCGATGAAGCCCATTCACACATGTATTTTGCGTGAATTGATAGTCATACAACACAGTAGCTGATCATGAATGAATTACAATACAATTATTCACTAAAATACACACACAATCGTAATTTGCGAAAGTTCATTGAATTCTTCCATATTATGCCGTTATTGCAAATAAACCTCATATTTAACTTAGAGAAATTGCCAGTTTTATAATGAGCAGTATCAATAACTAAACATTATTGTTAGGTAGCATTTTTCTAGAGAGCACAGTTACATAACGATGAAGAACTGGACATATGAATATGCAACTGGTTTAATATCGCCAATAAAAGGTTTGTAATTGAACGACGACTATTGACTGTGAATCTGCACATTAGTGGCATGAGCAGGACCGCCCAATAATTAAAAATATATGAGTCTACATACATCATAACATTCTTGCGATTCATTACGAACAATTAAATGACAAATAAAATTCGCATCGAACCATCAAATCGTCAATAACCATTGAATTTAATGTCCCTGTTAAATTTTCCCTTCAATTCTTCCTCATCCATTTTTACTAATTAATGTTCGAGGAGGCCATAGGAAGATGACAGACAAGCTACGGCAGAAAAGTCTAGTGAAGCATTTTATTAGACAAGCGAGAAAGATAATCAAAAAGACTCATAAACCAACATTTGATTACCTTGTTGGGCAGAATGTGAGGCAATAACTAGATTTCTGCCTTTATGGGAACTCTGAGAGTCATCGAAATCTCCGTTATTATCCCCATCACTCCCTTCTTTTCGGCAGATAACTGATGCCGCCGCCGCCGAACTGCTCTCTGGATTGGTTTCTTTTGTCTCTGAGCAAACCAATGAAGAATTATGTTGACGGACTTGCAATTTTACAGAATTGAAATTTGTGGTAACTCCTTCGGGTCGACTCCACTCATCTGAAATTTTAAAATCCATGGGTTAGTCACATTTTCGAAATACTTCCGTTAGGCAATATTATTCTTCTCCATTTTGAAATATGTCTGTGAAGTATAGCATTAGATTGTGCATCGTCACAATTACAAGTGTCAATGGAGCCACCGTAGAAAACAGAACTCGGGTGAAAAGACAAAACTGATTTACTGATTTACAATAGTTTATTCATGTGTCGTGAATCATCAGATACATGGAGGTTATGCATTCATGGTCAATCTCGTGACGAAATTAATTTCTTATTTTATACGAAGAGTTTAATTTGTGACAATCGGTGACAATCCTCAGAATTTTTATGACTTTTCGATACGATACTTGATAATGATACGATCTGGCGAAAGCCATGCAGTCCATAGTATGGTCCTTATCCTAAGAAATAACTATAAATTTTACGTACAATCTTTGCTTCAGAACATTTTACGAAAGGAAATATTGGGCAAATATTATATTTCTATTGTCTTAAATTTTCCTTGATCCTATATTCTTCCGAAAATATATATTTTAATCTCTTAATTTACACGGTGTAAGGCCAACAATTGCATATGTATATATTGTGTATGATATTTATCATGCACATATTTTGCACATGTATTTATCATTTTTTATGAAAATTTACAACCGCCGAGTAGAAAGGAAGACGGAGGAAACCGGTAGCAAAAATGCGGTAGAAATTTTATCCTTTGTTCATCCACTCCGTCATTCAACCAACCAACCATCCATGTGTTGAATCCCTTGTTTGTCACTTCAACTTGAACATCAGTTAATGTAATTACTCATATTTTAATGTGGATTTTGATCCAATAAAGCTTGATTTATGATGATTGATGGACGACATATCAACTTGTGTTGTGGGCACTCATTCTTTTGAGTAACTGCACCTTATATTTATGCACTTACTCTTTGCTTCTGTCTAATGTGGACCATGATGGTAAAACTGTGATTACAACGGTCAAGTTCAACTCAAAGCTCTAAAATACGTGACGATGCAGAGTGGACTTGACTATCAAACGGGATTAGACCACAAAACTTAAAATGGATAAGACCACAAAGTTGACTTATCCATCCCACCACCCACATATAAGGATTTCCTCCTCAAATCCGTTGCCAATTCGTTCAATACCACTTCATCACAATAGCGCACTTTGTGTTATGTCATTATCAATAGACAATCCTTAAAGAAAAAGCAGATGATGCCAAGGCAAATTTCAGCACTGAATCATTTGTGATACCAAAAAGTAAATGATGACATGTAACAATTTGAAGTACGGGTGTTTGCGGATAATTCTTGAGAACTTTCCCAGAGGAAGGTTATTGATACCGATCTTTTCATATTGAAATGTAATGCTTGAAAATCTATCGATCGATCACTCAACCCAATCCTTTTCCAACACAGGGAATCTTTTATGCAAATTATTTTATGGAGTTGTGGGTAAGTTAAATGATAACCACAACATTCCACACGCTCTTGCCTGTCAACAGCCGCTAGTGTCGCCGTGGTGTATCAGATTTGACAAATAATGCAGTTTTCAACTTTTATGATTTTACTACGGCAAAAATGATTGAAAAAAAATTCCAGTAATCTTCGACTCGACTTTTTTTTACGTTAAATTGCCATTCACTTCATACCCCGACTAAGGGTGTGAGTTGCCAGTTCTTATTATTTCTTTATCCTTGTATTCTGTCCATATATCAAACGTTCATACAGTAGTTTATCCTTGTTCTTAAAAAACTGTTTTTCTTTAAATAAAATATAAATAAGGAATTAAGAAGCCATGGACGAAACATGATATGTCTATATTTCTATATCATAAAATTACTTTATTTAATTGCATGTCATTATTATCACACCACTTTTCAATTTTATATCTTACTTAATCCGTTCTCTCCAATAAGTTTTTCCAATAGGAAATAACGAGAAACCTTTCACAAGCCAGAGAATTACTCAAATCTATCCATAGCTATAATGAGTTAGAGAAGACATCTCATATGCAGCTTTAGTGCAGGATAGCAAAATTTCTTGTAATGCCCAAGTAATATTTACAAACATGCAAACACCATTTTTCCCATAAGAGAGACAGTTTGTTTGGCTTGGTTGAGATATCATTTGAGCGCAAGATAGCCATCGCAATCTCAGATGAGCATTGAAGAATCGTTTTTCTTATTGCACTGGGTAAACAATCATAATCCATTTCGGAACGATTATTATAACCCTGTAACCACCACCACTCAAAAGTTTTCGATTCTTTGTAGACTCAGGCAAACAAACGAAACGAGGCAACACATCATGCACACCAGAAGAAGAGGAAAAAAGGATAATTTATGGACAAAATGAATAGTTGCTAATGTACATGCACATGGACTAATCTGTAAACGTCAATAAGATATTCGTTCATTTTTTACAGCTCACGAGATGAGAAAGCTCTTACGGGCATCCGCCTACTTCTCATTACTTTTCTTCCGTCTTCAGCGGAATGTATATGCTAATTATCATTGTCAACATGAAGCTCATGAAATGTCAGAGCGAGGAGAGTAATCGCTCCCATTTTTCAATTATGCTTCGAGTATTTATTTTTCAAAGTTCAAAATAAATACTCGAAATTTGAGAACTCCTTTGGGCACCTTCCGTCACACAACTTTCTTCTCTCTCAACAAACGCATCCATTATCACACACGTCACAGACGACGATGACGACGACGACTAGACAAACTAAAACTGTAAGATGCGGATGTAAAATTTACCCAAGTGTTTTAATCCGTAATTTAAACCTGATTACTGAAAATCTGTGATAAAAAAAATATTTAGTTTACTTATTGAGTAATTGGTAAAAATCTTCCAATCATTATGGTACAAAAATGCTCTTGATATTCACCAAATTGCCTGCTCTGATAGGGAAATGAAACCAAGCATACACCAAATAAATATTTTCTGCATACGTTGTTCAGGTTAATTTACCCTCATCACAGTTATCACTCCCATTTGAAAATAATGCCACTATACAAATCCTACAATTTTATATAACCTTTCACGACGTATTTCTGCTTAGAAAACAAGATGTGGGGAACAATTCACAAATTAGAAATCCCATGGCTCAGAATTTGGGTGACAGGGCCTAACCTATGTAAGGTGACAACGACTTGAAACAAAGACACAATATCTGAACAGCTTATTCTTGGGCAGGAGAAATTGTTTACTTGGATAGTAAATAGTTCGTTGAATTCAGTAATTTTAAATTGCTGTCTTTTGGAATGGTTTGGCCAACACAATGCACAATGTTCCGTATTCACTGGTCTATATACTTATCTAAATGCATGAAAAGGTAAATAGGAATGCAACGAAATTGATGATGACATTGCAACTTCACAGATGTTGCATTACACCTCCAAAATCATTGTGCCCTCCAAACACAGTACAGTCGACAAAGTCAAGCAAAGTTGTATTGTCACTCGAAATTGTTTTATTTGCTGATAAAGGAGGAATGGAATTTTTAATTGAGCCAGCCCATTTCTTCCCTTTATTTCATTCTGTGCCTCTTTTTCCTTCTGAGCAAAATGCATGTAAATTAGTCTCGGCCCAAACTGAATTGCACTGAAAGGTAATTAAAACTTGCAAAGTGAAGAGGACTTATTTGGAATTGAAAAAGTTGAATTGAGACGCCCCCGTGAGTTGCACAAAACAGACAGTTTGCTGGAAGGGTACTGAGATAGAAAAATAGACAGTAATCGATTAAATGGAAGCATCCTACATACTCGTTGAATCAAATTGTCGTTATCAGCTCGTTGAACTTGCAACATTCTGTCAAACTCAGAAATAAACAGTCTATTTTCTCTTATTCAAGGCATCTTCAAGAAACTGGCTGATTTGGACATAATCATTTTTATCATTACTGAAAAGCAAGACAAATTATTGAAACGTTACCTAACATAAATTTGTACACCGAGTACACCACAATTACCGTTATCTATCATGTTTACGAATATTAGTAAATATTGAAATATGGATACTATTCCATGAAATACATGTATATAGAAGTTGAATTCATTTCATCAACTTCTAGATTAAAACTGTGTATTACTTGATTAAAGCTTGGATTGACTTAAAGCTGGATAGTCGCTGAAAGATACAAAATAAATGATTTTTCCACAAATAAAGGATTCCATCTGCCTGTCTCGAGTTGTTTCATTCTCGATGCGTCACTTATGACTAAATCTCAGAGCGACATTATACAAAATTAATTCACCTTTTGGTGGCCTTGGTGGTGCAATGGGTAGCATGAATAGAAATTGCTTTTATCAACATCAAGTACAAATTGTATCAGTTTATGAGTTTTGCTAACAATGCTTCTGGTACATTTGCTTAAAAATTAAAAAAAAGTCATACAAAAAGGCCCACATGTACTAAAAAAACATGTGCCTTTACAGATAGTGCACTATTGTAATAAATGACAAATTTAAAATGTTTATGTAAAAATTGATTCCCTTAATGTGGGGTTGTTTGTAAATAAATATTTGAATATATGTATAAGCATCGGAGTGGAGAATTGCATTTCCTCCCCCTGAAAATGTTTGTGAATGAGAACGAAATTCCAAGCAGTTAAAAACCACCCAATAAACGCAGTCTTGCTTTGTAAGTTAGATTTATTTATGTAGACGACGACTCAACAGAATTTGCAAAGCGCAAGTCACTTGTTCCATCTTTAAAGCGGAATTTCACATGCCTTTTGCATCCTTTTGATTCAATTTCACTTCGCAAAGCAATAAAACATTTTTATCGCGGTGTTATTCTGGTGGTAAATTTACCTCCCCTCCGTCTCCTCCTCCTATTATTATTTACAAGCAAAAGCTTAAATCGTAAAAGGTTTTCCTGCGTTGTCATTTTTCCAGGCTCGTTTCTCATCCTGCTTAAATGCAAATTTTCTGAGTGTATACACATGAGACAACAGCCAACACAATCTTGGCAAAAAAATCTTAGTTCAGGTTCAAGTAATTGTTCGCGTACCTCACTTGCACATTCCTCAAAAACTTAAGAGACTGCCCTAATATTTTTATTTTTCAAACCACCAATTGTGCTTGTGGACAAACAAAGAATAGGAAAAGAAGAGCAAAAGTACACACTATTTGTCAAAGCAAAAAACCGACTAAATTATTTCGACATGTAACAATCCCATTGTTTGCTAAATATTATATTACAGAACATCAAAATTTTAAGTATATGCAAATCTTGAGGAATATTTTTATGACACCCAAAAACTAGGTGTTCCCTGTTCCCTGTGAGATATTTTTTGCATTTTAATTCGTAAAGGGAAGTCTTCCGACCATGACTTTTACATGCTTGGAATTTTAGACCATGTTTAATACCTTTCGTCCAGCACAAACCCAAGTTAGTCACAAACACGATGATGCACAAGCACGTTCATGCAAAATTATCATGAGTCATTTCCACTTCGTGTGACTGGATGACGAATTTGAAGAACTATAAAACAAATCTTACCAATTTTCACTATTGTCGGGGAGGCTGGGTCTCGCTTGTTTGACGCGATGTTCTTTCTCACTGCAATAAAAATTGAACCTAAAAGTATTAGATCTGCAATGCGTAAAAATCTGAATTTGAACCTAGGCGTGTATTACTTAGCAAATAGATTATAAAATTGACAAATCTGACTATTAATCTGAAAATATGTAATACACAACAACGTAATTTTAATCTAGAATTATTCACAAAAATTATGATTCAAAGTGACTACACACAAATTGATTTGATATTTTAAGGGTATCAGAGGGAAGCATTAAGTGTTTTGACCTTTTGAATTACCTTTTGCTCTTGGCGGAGAAGTAGGCTCAGTTTTCTGGTTTTCCTTGACCCTTTTTTCGAGCACTGTAAGAAACAAATAGTGGAAACGTTTGAGTGGTAAGTAATTAAAATTTTCGAAATTATTTATGTATGTATAGAGTAATCCTTATATAATTTGACACAGTTTGACTCACACATGAAGGCATTATTCTAACTCCTGTTTCAAGGTCTCTGCACTTGGGGGGTTGCTTTGGAGATGAATTCGAAGCTACAACAGGTTGTGTCAGTTTATTCAATTTTCAAAAAAAAATAAAAAATCCGGAGTTGGAGAATTCGCAAAATTTACCCTATGTTTTTAATTTGTAACTATTGACAACGTAAAAATATAGAGGGTAAATTTTGCGAATTCTCCAACTCCGGATTTTTTATTTTTTTTGAAAATCGAATAAACTGACACAACCTGTTGTAGCTTCGAATTCATCTCCAAAGCAACCCCCCAAGTGCAGAGACCTTGCTCCTGTTTATATCCAGAAATAACCCTTCAAAATGTTGCGTTATTCAGGCAGCATAGACGGACTTACAGACGGTTCGCATAAAATAGCTGCCGCTACTTACTACCCGTATTGTAAATCTATCATGTATGCAGAACTTAAAATACCTCAACATATGAAACTCATAAACTCTCAACCCTTTAGTAAACCATATTCACCTCATAATTTCACTTTAGCCATTAGTTTTATTGTTAGTGCAAAAAGATGAGTAATTAGTGATGCATACTGCAGTCACCTCTATTTAAGGTACATCATGATCTCATACGCATCATGTTTATGTAAATATGTACATTCAGGAAGAAGCCCTAATTGTCCTTGACTGTGGACCACCTTGATATACACAAACTTTCCCTCGAGTGCATTTTGCTCCTATGCAAATGACGTTGAACGTTATCGACCTTACTGATCAGCGCAACGGTTCACGCCAATCGAACACTGGATGCAAAATTTATGTGGGAGTACCAAGTACATACTCCAATTAATCAATGGCTCTTCTCGATCGACCTCAAATATCGCGTAGCTGCTGTTGCTCAATTGATCTGACAACCGGAATTATAAAGACATCCACTAATACTTGCACTTGTTTCATCAAACACGCTTCATTACAGCTGCATAATCTTACGACTTTGAGATTAAAATTTGGGTTGGTCTGCTAGGACTTCCATGATGATTGTAAGCCACATTCAAATCATAACTAAGATGCAAACTTGCTCCCTCCTTCTCCTTTTGTGGTTAATGTCATCCGCTATTAAGCATACGGAAATATTCATTGATCTTAAGGACGAAAAATGCCAGTTCAGACAGAGCCTATGTACTAAAGGCCAAATTATGAACAAAATGCGTAAAAAAACTATATACTCGAAATATCAATTAATATGAACAAATATTCAATATGGAAATAAAATATAAATCGTTAGGTAGATAAAATACTCTGAATTTTTTCAGTCATTTGATCCGAATAACAGCTACCAGCTAGCACACAAATTTGCTAACCGCAACACGAACGCAAGTACATCTGTATGTACGTACACATACATTGGTACACGTGTACGATGCCAAGATCGACACCGCATAAAAAATGATTTACTACATGAATATGAACCGATTGAATTAATCGGAAACTCGTATGACAAAAACTTAATCAATAAGAAAACCCACGTGTCCATTGTCAGTAGAAAAAATAGTCAAGGAAGAAACTTGTATTACAGCATTTATACACAAGTAGACTATCCTACACCATCGTTATACATGTGCAGCTCCAATTCTAGCTAAATATTCAACATAGGATTACGCATTACAAGTGATTTGAAATTTGAATATGAATAGGAGCGAAGGGGCAAGGCTGCTGGCTGGAGTGGGTCGAAATAAGCTGTCCATCATTTAAAACCATCAAATCAAAAGATGAAGATGGTCGAGTTTGCCTTGGATTTCCTTGCCACGATGCACGATGGAGATCTCAAATGCATGATTATAATTTATTATTAAATAAATTCCTACCCAGTTTGCAATCCGAACACAGCAAAGATTAAAACTCATTTAAGGCAGACTGACAATCAAACAAGGCGATAAGATCGATGTTATTGGGAACAAATCTTAAATTATTCCGAGTTGAAACCAAAGAGTGTTCATTTAAGACTCGCCTGCACAATAACGTACTTTTTATTATAAGAGTCACCTATTACGAGTTACTTAAAATTTACATATGTATTTACACTACTTGACGATTTGATCTCAATTCTGAAGTGCATCTGGTGCTGTGTTGTTATAGACAACTTCCAGCACTTATGATAGCTGTTCGAGAACTCGATTTGCAGCCCAAGAATGTATTAATCTGGGCAGCCAGTAGGCCATGCACCACATATTATAATAATAATGAGCATGCAAGCAAAAGTGCGAGTGATACAAGAGTCGGACTGGTTTGAATCCGACGAGTGGCCAAAGGAATAAAAAATTAAATCCGTTTTATAAAGAAGGAAATGACAAGAAGAGAAGTACAGATAAATGACACGATTTAATTTTCTGAAGGGCAGGCTTGTCGGATCCTTTGACTCGATTTCAAAGGTGGGGATTCGTGTCTCCATTTGAAAATGTTAAAATGCACTCGCAAGTGCGTTAATAAAGACAAATCTGACAACATTTTAAACAATTCGTAAGCATAAATGGAGATAATGAAAAGCAAATCAAGATTATACATGATTTTTTCTCCTTATTGAAAGAATTGTCGCTTACAGATTTTTGATAACATGTATGCAATGCACTTTAAAGAAGCCTAATCTTTCAACAAATGTACGTGTGCTTCTTATTTTTGGCCGGGACTTTATCTTAACTAAGACTTTGTACTTTGCTTGTCATGAATAAATATTTTTGAGATCTTCCAAATACAAATATGGCCAAAATATTGTTGTCTCTATGTTGGAATTGACCGTTAATTGGAGCTGAGCCGCTACATTTGCACATATACATACTTTCCTTAAACATGCATTTACAGCATTGTGACAGTATGATGCATAGCACATTTTTGGTCGAAATAATTTGGCCTGCATATTTTATCTCATCTTGCACAATGACTTTGTGAAATGAATGTTACGGAACCACTTGGACTGGAATTTACTGAACTTAATAATCATAATAACTCATTATTCGACGAGGAAAATGCACCATAGCACGATTTCGGTTTGTGAGTCCCTAGCCTTCTTGCTTCACTTTCCCATAAAACTCATCTGTCATGGTCCCGGTGGTCTCCGCCTTGTCAGAATATTTTACTAAATCTCAAATCTGATGACAACTTACAACAAAACTTGAAGCAGTTTGACCAACCAAAGAAGGGAAATTATGGTGTGTATCTCACAAGTCAACGGCCGTTCATTTTATTCCATCAGGAATTTGCTGACTACTTCCACTAAACTGCGAAATGCGTATACGGCTGGCTAAGTTCCTTCGGCTTGACGTGTTCATCCTCAAAAAACTCCAAGTTTCCATCACTTGCCAGTTCATGCACTCAATTCCAAAACTCATACAAACCTCGAGATTGTGGTTTAACATTAAAAGTAAAGTATTTAATTCCACCTCTTCAATCCCGTGATTCATTTGATGTGCTAAAAATACTGTTAAATGTTGTCGGACCAAGTCAATTGCTTGTTCTGGGGTTTCACACACACACACAAACAACCGATTCTTTTAAGCATATTATACTTCTGATCTGCCATAGAAGAAGAATAATAAGGTTATGCTGACCACATCACACGCATCACTCGCCCACTTCCCACACGAATATTTCAAACCATCTAATTTATGCAGACTCGGAAAATTCCTCAAGAGGTCAATTCTACAAGGTATTGTACAAAAATGGACAAAAAAGTTATACCTACAATTAGTTCATTAACGCAAAATAAAATCAAGTTTGATTAAGAACTTGACACTTTGAAACTTTTTTTTAGTCCGTATTACTTACGCACGCACTAAAAGTAATTAGTCAAAGCTGACTCTACTACTGGAGACTATCAGTAAGAAAATATGAAAATATCTACTTACGTATTTACTAAAACGAGGTGCAGTTTATGCACCAACTTTAATATGTAATACATGAAGCATAAAAAAGTTGAAATATCTAGATTGTAGATTAAAGCAACAATTACAAAGCAGGCTTGATTTTTTTAATGTGAGATGTTTAAACTTTTTTTCTCTAAATCTTCTCCAATTTCTGATGATTTGATAAGTATACAAAAGCCATATTAAGAACAACCTCGTTGGACAGCACACGAGTGAGTAGGAAAGAATTATCTTAACGACAAAGTTTGAATTGTATGCACACACATACGCATTATTATGCATTACTGGTGAAACTAAACAAAATACAATCGTGTCTCCAAAACGCATTCATCCCGAGAGTCAAAGTCCAAAGATGCATTTGAAACTTTTTGAAGCAGGAGACAAGTGTCCAGACTGGTTTCCAAGCAGTACGTATGTACACAACAACGACTTTCCTTAATCAATCCGGTCTCGCTCGAATACTTGTTTCTGTTGAAAATCGTAAAACACAGACAGATTTTGACCACAAACCGAGATAAAATGCCTTCCTGGTGAAATGTGTTTCTGAGTAGAGCTCCAATGGCATAACACGGTTTTACGGTTTTGTGCCATCCTTTCTGCTGTCATCTCCACTTTCAAGCCAATGTCCATTGTCAAGTTGGTCTGCCCTGTTGGTAGCTTACCGATCAGATTCTCTGTGTTTTAAATTATAATGGAGAGTGAACTTGGTAATAAAAGTTTGGAGATACGAAATCAGAGTGCATTTGAGAGCCTTAATCTTGGTTAATTTCCTATTTGGACCTTCCTCAGGTTGTTTAACAGAAAAATGAACAATGCGCAATTGTTTAGACTTTGGTGGACAGAAAATTTAAACTCTGAGCTTAATACAGATTCAATTTTTAAACATTTATGCATATATGAACATATACACATTCATACATTTGTATATAGAATGCTCATATGTTTGTATGAAAATAAGCAATCTGGATTCTATAATATTTGTAA